TCACATTGACCGAATGTGTCATCACCAACATTAAATGTGAATGTATTGTTCATCACATTGACTGGATGTGTCATCACCAACATTAAATGTGAATGTGTTGTCCATCACATTGACTGGATGTGTCATCCATCACATTGACTGGATGTGTCATCACCAACATTAAATGTGAATGTATTGTCCATCACATTGACTGGATGTGTCATCACCAACATTAAATGTGAATGTAATGTCCATCACATTGACTGAATGTGTCATCACCAACATTAAATGTGAATGTATTGTCCATCACATTGACTGGATGTGTCATCACCAACATTAAATGTGAATGTATTGTCCATCACATTGACTGGATGTGTCATCACCAACATTACCGGTAAATGTGAATGTATTGTCCATCACATTGACTGGGACTGGATAAGTCATCACCAACATTAAATGTGAATGTATTGTCCATCACATTGACTGGATGTGTCATCACCAACATTAAATGTGAATGTATTGTCCATCACATTGACTGGATGTGTCATCACCAACATTAAATGTGAATGTATTGTTCATCGCATTGACTGGATGTGTCATCACCAACATTAAATGTGAATGTATTGTCCATCACATTGACTGGATGTGTCATCACCAACATTAAAGGCCAAAGTTTACACTAATTTGTGACATAATTTGGTTTATCCTTCCATTTCCATATAAATATGGCAATCACTGATGGTGTTGGATCAGTGTTACCATGACATTTTAGTATGTTACTGAAATATTCACTTTATTTTCACAGAGTAGTGGGCATGAGTTGAATGCTGGAGTGGCATGTGATGACCATTTGTGTATTCCACCTGGATTTGCCACATTACTAAAGCCATCTGATGAAAATGAGAAAAGAAAGACGGAATAACATCACCTGTTGGGAGACAGAGTTGCTCAATTTTTCCATCGTGATAAGAGAACTGAAGCAAAATGATGGGAATGACATGCACTGTTTAGGTGTAGATAGACAGATGGTGTGGTTCTTATACATGTAATATGCATGTTATTTTGCCAAATCTCACTTTTCCCTACAAAGATTTCTGTACCAATTATTCTTGCTTTGTTTACAAACTTCTCTGATTGCAATTCTAATTTTAGACCAAAGAAACAAAATTTTACATTGTTTTCATGTTTTGGTAAAAGTTTTTTTAAAACATGGTTCATTATGGGACTTGATTATTGTTAGTTGCAATGTTTAAAATGCCAAAACTTCATACTGCCTATTTTGCATTTTACTAAACAAATAAATGTATTGTATATCATAGATATAATTATTATATATATATTTTTTTGTAGTTATCAGACTTGTTTTAACTTGAAATTTTTATGTTATTATCTATTATGCATGCAAAAATAATATTTTTATTGAATTTGTTAATTTTTAAATTGTTAATTTCAAAATTATTTAGTTACTACCAATCATGTACAGTAAATGCAAAGCGATTGATATTATCCCATCATCCTTTGTGTAAATTAACTGTACGGTGATATGCAATAAGGATTCCGGGTACAGAAAAAAGCGAGACTATCTGCGAATACAGAGACACGATCGTAAAAACAGCCTGAGACAAACAGTAACCAGTTCTTTCACATACTCATTTATATTAGTATTCTAGAAATGGACGTTTCTCTTGTGATGTTGTCAGCATTTCACAATTCCTGTGACCTTAAATTAGTATTTTTGTTGCATATCAAACTACCTGCTCACCAAGTTTATCTTTACAAGTCTTTTACTTTATATGACAATGCTTGATAATCAGCAAAAAATTACTGTAGAATTCAATGACAAATAATGAGTATAGTACCTCTTTAGTGACATTTAAGTACATTTTTCTGAATTAGTGTCGTCATTTTTTGTTTAAAGTTAATTAGAAACTAACTATTAGAATTTTATACATCATTCTAAACAACATATATTTTTTCATAGAAATCCACATATTTTTTGTAAGAGCTTAGAATTGAATAGTCTCAGAACCACTTTTAAATTCTTCAACAAACAAATAAGAAACAACTTAGAGGACTTTTGCTTAAGAATTCTGCTTTGCACTTTACTAGTGAACTTTAATTCTTAATATCATGTTGGTCTCTTTCCATAAAACTGTTAATTCTGTAGAACAGTGATTCGATAACACTTGACCACTTTGCTGTAATCTTGCCATCAGTAATTGTTCTCTAAGCATAAAGTGTCTGCTCTCAGACATTGCTCTCAGACATTGCTTTCATAGTTGGTTGAACGTTCAGTCAACCAAGGCATACTGCTTGTGTACACCTGCTATGCAGCTGCCAACCAGACATTTAAACAACAATGTTTTCTTTTAAAACTATTCAAGGGTTATTAAAAAACTGTTGAAATTTTTTTCTTTTTCTCTGCTAATTACTATACTGATACCTCCTTACAGATACCCCACAAGATACTGATCCCTCCTCTCAGTAAGCCCACAAATACGAATACCCCCTCACAGTGGGCCCACAAGATACTAATGCCCCCTCACAGTGAGCCCACAAGATACTGATACCCCTCAGTGAGCGCACAAGACACTGATATCACCTACAGTGAGCCCACAAGATATTGATACATCCTACAGTGAACCCACAATTAAGATACTGATACACCCTTACATCCGCATCGTCAGGCTAGATGATTTTTGCCATTATTTGACTAATTTATATTTATATGATTGTTGTGGAATTGCTAATATTGTAAATACATGTAATAATCTAAGCCATTTCAGCATCTATATGCCAACCTGAGAGAAAACTCTTCCTCCTAATACAAGTGAAAAGTATAAATTTTGTAACTAATGAGCACTTAGTGCAGGTCATTTCAATAAGTTCACACGAGTCCTACCAAGGCTATATAAAACCAATTTATTATTATATAACTTAACTGCTGCTTCTTCACCATTCCAATCTTTCATTTACTGATATATTAAGCTGTGTGAAATACAATATGTAATACATGTACCATGCGTCACCAAGTTTGTATTATATAATTTAGTCATCCAAGTATTATTATGGCAATGCTATAAAGCCTTCAACAAATTTCATTATATAAACAAGTGTTTGAGGTTTAGAATTATGGAAATGAATCTGATATGTTTGTACTAGTCTTCTTTTCTCCAATTGTCCGAATCAAATGATGTATACATAATATATACTCCCCATTGATTGTGAAATAAAATATCATGGGAGTGTATAAATGGTGAAAGCCAGGTTACCATGAATGGTGGTTACAGCCATAACCCGGTTTACACTCATATTTTATTTTATTTAAAAAAAAGGACACAAAAAAATAAACAAGAGACGATGCAAGTCTATGCTCTCTATTTTTGCAAGACCCCACTCCCCACAAGTTGGATGTGTGCTCGTGTGAGATCACAAATAACGAACAATCAGACAATTTCAAAATGGCCGCCTCCATAGTATGAGAGACGCTGTTCACCTTTTATTACGTTATTGAGCCAGTTTGTGCTACAAAACAGGTGAGCGGATTGATTAATACGGGTTTAAACAATCAATGGTTCACTAATCGTCTCCTATACGTATCATAAGAAATGCAATGTTTTTGTTACGTAAATTCAGTCGAGTGAGAGTTGACGTTTGTCGCCACTGGTGACTGTCACCAGGCATGTTCACGGCATGACGTGACACGAACTACCGTAGTTAACTACCACACTCATAGAGCAAAAAGGAGAGTTCCAGGCTACAGTACAGTACACAACTAATCACTCAGTGTGTCCTCAATTCACAGCGCATTGGTGATACTTACACATTGAGTCATGATGTGTTTCTAGATTGTTCCTACACTTCCGTTGAAACTGCGCATGTGCATATGGACTGTTTACATATTAATAGCGGCCAGTTTTTAGAGTTCTGCTAAAAATAAGCCGCACTTTCTCGGGCAAGCTGGTGATTTCATACTACTGTCAAAATTGTGTGTCGTAGTTTTTTGTGACGAACAAACTGAAAGTATTATAGTTACAAACACAAGCAACGTTTACTATATAACTATAACTTTCATTATTCATTACGTGTAATAAAA